AACAGGATGGAGGGACAGGGGCTTGGGGGCCAGTGTAGCCACAAGTGGAGTGAGCTGGGGCAGGCTGGGAACTGAGCCTGGGAGGGAGGCGGGCGCGGGTGGGCAAGGACACTCCTCAGCAGCCCCCAGGCTGTCACTCTGCTCCCTGTCACCTCCTCTGTGCTCATGCTTGGGGTTTGTCACCTTAGCCAGGTGCCTCCTCCAGCCAGGCCGAGCAGGACTCAGAGGTGGTTGGAAGGAGGGAACCAGGAGCCAGGAGCCACAGCAGTGACTGAGATTCTCTGGTAACTTCTGAGGGTAGCCTGAGTAGAGCACTGCACTGAGGCTTATCCCGCTTTGCTTCCTGAGTCTTTCCAGTCCTGAAACCGTTCCCAGTGCCCCTCAGGAAGAAGCAGAGATGACACAGCAGGCCTGGGTGCCCAGCAATGGGGACAACAGTCTTGACACAGAGGCTGAGATTTCACACCCCCTGGCAATACCCTGAGGGATTTAGCCACCAGAAATATAAGGGTCTAGCTAACTGGCCAAATTCTCATCTCTCCAAGGAGTATGTGACTTAGGAAGGGTGTTTGTTTTCCTGTGAGCATTTTGGACTAACATAAAAAGTGATAAGTATCTGACTGAACTTCATCTTTTCCTGAAGCAGGAAGAAAGCAGAGAACAGAAAGCAAATATTTATTGAATGACTATTCTGAGCTTGGTTCTCTAAATGCCTTTGCTTACTGAATCCTATTATCAACTCCATTGTACAGTTAAAAAAAGGGGACTCAAAGACCAAATACATGTCCCAAAGTTACCATTTAATAATAAAAATGTGTCATGATTTGTATCCTTGTTTACCGACTCTAGAGCCCAAACTGTCTATACTTGATTTTTATCTAAGCCTGTCCCCTGAATCAGAACATAGTTTGGGATTAATGCTGGGGTAATTCACATAGGAGAGAAGTCCCACACTTTTGGGAGACAATGATTAAACATTAAGCAACATAATAAGATAACATGGAAGTGTGACTCCAACAGCAGAAAATTAGGGCTAGGCCGGGAGAGTGTGGTGGTGTTTTACACAGGTCTTTGCCAACTCAGAGCACCCCTCGGGCCCTCGGGGGGAGGGCTGCGGAAGGGAGAGTATGAGGTGCAGGGTGTGAGGGAGTTGTCCCTGTGTCCACTGTCCTGCAGCCTCATGTGGCAAGCACGATGGGGTTCAGTCCAACATGGCAAGCCTCAGGCTCCCGCTGCTAGCCGGTGCAAAAGTGACTCTGGGGTCAACCAGGTGGCACCTGAGAAAATCTCATGGCCTCTCAGGATCCCTGAGCATTATGGAGTCAATTCACTAAAGGGCAGCCCCAGGCCCTTGACATCCAGCACAGCTCCTTGGCAGGGTGATGAAGATGTTCTCATTAACTGGAATGTACATAGTCAGGGCTCAATGAATATTTGTTAAATTTTGTAGTTGAGTGACAATAAGGTAACATGGAGTAAGCTGCCACAGAAAGACCGGAACTCAAAGTCCCCGCTCATCTGCCAAGCCCAAAGCTTAGCTCTATACTTGCATCACTTGGCCCCTGGCACCCCCTGTAGGATCTGTGTCCTGATCCTGAAGATTAGGGGGCCTGGCAAAGTGAAATGTTTCCCCAAGGTCACCTGTGGGATACCTAACTGAGAAGTCCCTACACAAGGGCGCCTCCCCAGCAAACCCATTCCCTCTCTGTGCATGTGGAGGGCAGAAGGCATCAATGCCCCATGGGAGAGCTTGCGAGAGCGCAGCCGGCAGAGAGCTCAGGGCGCTTTCCTTTAGTCTTGGCATTTGCACGTGGACCGCTTTTTGGAGTGGGACGACTATGAAGCTCTAAAATATGCTTTTTATAGCTGCTTTACCAAAAGTAATTATTCATTCTCTTCTTAAATGAAGCAAGGACTTTGGTTTTAGAATGGCTCTGATTAATGCAGTTTTAACAGGACCGTTCAAAAGCCAATGCCGAAGGTAAAAAATCTTGCTTTGATCCACCTGCCTCCTGCCTTTTTAAACCCGATCAATCCCATCACCATGATGCTTTTGAAAGGTAAGTGAGCATCATCCATGGATTTTAGAGACTCCTCGTCCCTTGCTGACTCCAGGGTGGAATACTTCCAAACAGCAAAGCATTCCATGCAGGCAAAATCAAGCCGGTCTGAAGGAATGATGCCAAGCCCAGAGTCACTTGAGGTGTGATATAAACGGAGGTTGTCAGATGGAACCAGTGTCCCCAGCATGGGAACAAATGAGCTGGTCAGATGCACATGGAAGGGAAATGTCAGGCAAGCAGTGTGGGCAAGAGGAAATATGAATGGAGCGGGAGAGAGGCATGATTCCTCACCCATGTCCTTCAGAGGCTTTGTCTGAAGAAATTTAGAGGTAAGAGCTGCAGAGAGAACAGGGGCTTGGTAGGGGTGCCTGTGCCCTAACCCAAGCAGATGGGCAAAAGTGGGTGCTCCTAAAAAGGTTATGTGAACATGGCAGGGGATGGATGTCACAGCACAATTTTCGGTGGGAATCATGCGCAGGGGTCTCTAACTCTCCACATTAATCCACAGGATTCAAGAAAAAAACGTCCTTGAAAAACGCCCTGAGATACGCACTTCCTACCTGGCTTCCTGTGGGAACAGCCACATTCTGTAGCCAGAGACCACCCCCACAGACCCTCTTGTGCCTGGTGCCTTTGCTCCTCAATCTTAACTCACATGCCATCTCCCCAGAAGCCCTCATGACCACAGACACCTCAACAGTGATGCCTGCTCACACCCCAGACACAGTCGTTGTACCCCCAACCTAATTCCAAGTAAGAACGAGCCAACCACAGAATGAGTCTAAGAAAGCCTGAGTTCTAATTTTCCCCATGAGGACTACTTTACTGCTTCTTTTGAAATGCCAAACACAAAGGGCTATCATTGAATATTTTGGAACCCTTACTAAATGCCTACTCCAGCTCCCGGATGACCAGGGCTGTTCTCTGAGGCTGAGTCTGGAACACTTATTTCTTGACTTGCTACTGCCTGTCTCTCCCACCAGACTTGAGGCTCCGGAGGGCAGCAGGTCTGTCTTTGGCCCCTGGGTGTAGCACGGTGCCCAGCAGAGTTGGAGGCTAGTACATCTTGTTGGTAAGTGGACAAATGCCTCTCTATCCTCTTGTCTGATGGGCTCTGGGCTTCACCCTGGAGTTGAATGTCCCAGGCAGAGGCTTGTAGAACACAGCAGGTTATGATGGTGGTGGGAAAGGCAGGCCTTTGCTTACGCCAGGGGAAGCTGGGCTCTCCAGCCCTCTGCAGTGGTCAGTGCAAATTGAGCTCTCCTGGCTCAAAGAGCCTCCTCCAACACAGTTCTTTGAGGACGGCTGTGTCTGTTCCTGGAGCCGGCTGAGCTCAGAGAAGCCTGGAGCCATAACAGAGTCTGTCTCCTTAGCAAGAGCCCAACCAGAACCCGAGAGGTCGAGAGGGGTTCCTGCTCTTGGTCACAAGAGACAGCACAGAGCGTCACAGGCCCCCAGGGCGTTCTTCTCTCAGAGGAGGCTCTCCAGAGTCCACAGGACAGAGAAGTGAGCAAAGTGGGGGCTCTGTCTGATATTGCACTCCAGGCAGCCTGTCACTCCAGGCCGCAGACTGAGAGAGCCAGAGAGGAAGAGGGGGAAGGGGAGGGTAAGGGGGGACAGGTTTGGCTGCAGCTTCCTGGGAAACTGCATCAGCCAGATGACAATCAGAATTAGCATCAGAACACCTTGATGAAAGGAAGGAAGAAAGAGTTGAATCCGTGAATGAAAAATAGATTATTCACTGTCAGTCTGAACAATGGAACAAGACATAAATAGCAGCCATGTGCAGGACATGCCAATTTTGCTCAAAAATGGTGTGCACTGTACTCCAGCGGCCCTCCAGAGAGCTCCGTAGCACAGCCAAGTTCTGCACTGAGCAGATGGGGCAGAGGGAGACTAACAATGGCCTCTCAGAAGTGGGAAGGACGTGGGCTTAAAGTCAGAGATTCAGAGTTCTAGCTCTGTTATTTACAACTGTTATTTACAATGGCATGCACGTGAGGCGGGGGGGGGGAAGGGGGAGCAGGACAGACAGGAAACAGAAGATGGAAGGCGGAAGGAGAGGCCCGAGCCACCAGCCTCCGGTAAGTGACTGTGCCTCTTGGAGCTTGGGCTCCAACATCAGGAAGACAGTTGAGATAAAGCGTGATGGGGTTGGTAAAGTTATCAAGGGCCACTGCTGTTACTGAACTAGGCAGAGGTAAGTGTTCCAAGGCCCTGACCCTGCCCAGCACCGGGAGGAGTCTGTCAGTGGAAGCAAGGAAGGAGGGACACCCACAGACAAGAATGGAGCCCGTCGGTTGTAGTCGGTAAGGGACCATCAAGGTGTACAGGGCCATCACCTCAGTCCTTGACTCCACACTTGACAATTATGGAGGCCCGGGATGGCCAGAAACCAGGCCCCTCCGCATCTCACTGGGCAATGCTAGGACAATTCTGCCGGCAAATGCTATTTAGTCTGTCACCGGCCCAGGTCCCTTTCTGCAAGACTGACTTGGCCCTAAGCACACGTGTCTGTGCCCTCTGGTGCTCCAGAGCACAGAGCTGCAGCACGCTGGCTTCTGGGCCCTACCATCCCTTCCCTGTGAGCTGAAGGGGCCTCTGCAGCAGCCTCCTCCGATGAGCCCCCTCTCCCAGGGCCTGTCAGTCCTGGAGAGACTTCACTCCTCTGCACCTGAGTTGCCACAGAGAGACACCATGACTCACCTAGGTGACAGAGAGTCCTGCACCTGTTACCCAGCGAGTGCCCTGTCAGCTCTCGGGTGGAGCTATGTGTCGGGCTGTGTGCCATCTCCTTCCATTCAACAAAAACTCAAGAAGTAGGAATAACTGCTCTCTCCACTTACTGAGGCACAACAGGGAGGAGCTTGGGCACTCGGGAAGGAGCCAGGATTCAAACGGAGGGTGGGTGACAATATTCACAGGGTCCCCCCTTACCTTGGTGAAGGTCAGACAGTCCTTGTCCTGGTCTCTGTCCTTCATCTCGAAATCATAAAGTGCTTTGCCCTGGGGCGGGGTCTGCGGCAAGGGCCGGACGCACTGGATGTAGCTGGCGGGCAGGAAGCCATGCGTCCCGTGCAGCTCCCCATGGTACCAGTGCTCGTCCACCCTGCGCCGCAGGATGATGATGTCGCCCTTGCTGAACTTGAGGTCGCCGGGTTCTTTCCCCTCGTAACTGTAGAGTGCCTTCCCATAGGGAAGCTGGGAAAGAGTCTGAAAGCAAAACATAGCATCTGGTTACTCAGCGTGGCCTTCTGCTGCCCCGTTAGATCTGTCTGGGATGGGGGGCTCCTGTGCTGTGTGGGCACGTACAGAATGTTCCAGAGTAGTAAGTACTTCAAAAGAACAGACACCCTATATGGGGATACTCAAGCCTATGGCCCTGCTGAGACAAAACGGTCCCCATAATGGCAGTACCCCCTCAAATAGTGTGTGTGAGAGGGGGGCCAAGCATGGTCCTGGACTGTCCACAGGAACCAACTCACTCTGCTGAAAAGGACTCTGGAACAGAAGCTAAATTACTACCATTTATAGGTGAGGGAACTGAGGCACGGAGAAAGAGAAAGTAACTGGCCCAAAGCCCCACCCCCGTAAGGATAGCAGAATCCCTACCCAGGTGGGCTGGCTCTGATATTCTCATCCACTGCTCTGTGCTAAATTGTCTTCCACTGTGTGCTATTTCTAGCTGCCAGACTTCCAACAATTATTGTCCAATAACATTTTCCTGACTTCATTTCCGAACCTTCACAGCGACTCAGAACACATGTCAAGGGGCTTCTCAGGTCAAGGGGACAGACCCACACCTACTATGGGACGTTCCCACTCACAGCCTTAAAACCAAGGGCATACACCTGTGACATCCAGCCCAGAAGGACAGTCTGGCCATGGAAGGTGGAGGCCACCCCTGGGACATTGGTCCCCAATGCACTAGGAGTTCCAACAAGTGGTCCCTGGCTGTCACAACACACCCCCCACCATACACATACCAATAACAAATAGCTTTTTGATGCATATGGCAGTCTGGTCCAGAAGTACAATTTCAAGACCATAAAATAGTATCCTCTCAATGTCATCGGATGTTCTTGTCATCCTGTCAAAGATTAGCCAACCTTTCTAAAACTGATCTGCCATCTTTGGTCTCTAATGGTGAATGACTGGTTCTGAAACAGAATTTGTGACAATCTTCTGCTCTTCTGCAATAAGGAGTCTGTTGAACCACCCTGAAACTTGACGTCACCATCCACTTCCCAGGCTCCTCAACTTAACTGGACCTGTCTCATAAAGACCAGTGGCCGCCTGGGTTTCTATTCCTCTTCTGTATGGGTGGCCAATACCCATCAACTGAGTAAGCTCTGTCAGAGGCCAAGTCTCTGCCAGAGGAAAACCAAAGGAAAACCCACCACTGTCCCTGTGGCAATACCCAACAATTTCCCTGACAGAAGCTGCATTTTCTCACCAGGGCTGTCTATGCCAAGGATTTCTTTAGTATTCAAATCAATCAATAGAACCACAAAAGCCTGCAGCAGTAGTACATTGAAAAGCTCTTTGTAGGGGACTTAATAACATGTTGGCAACTCAATCACTCTGCATTTATGTTTCAGCAATGTCAAATGACAGCAGTTAAGAGAGAACCTGCTGGCAAATTGACAAACAGCTACCACTAACCAATTAAATAGTAACACCAGAGGATTTTTCGTTGCAGAACTCAATGAGGAAAAAAAAATCAATTTGCTTCCAATAATACTCATCCTGGCTAGCTTTGTACCATAAGCACAATAGCCTGTAACAGGCCCTGATTTCAGACGGCTGAGGCAAAGTGGTGATTTGCAGAACAAGGACTGTGATCAGAAAAGAATGGAAGGGGCTGTCGGCTGTGAATCACCCGAAGGACCTTGGACACACAAAGGCCAGTCGGCCCCTGGCCCAGGGGTTCTCAGGCAGGGACAGTTTTGTCCCCCAGGGAATATCTGGCAATGTGTGAAGACATTTTTGCTTGTCACAGCTGGGAGGTGGGATGCTATTGGCCTCTAACGTGTAGAGGCCAGGGATGCTGCTAATCGTCCTGCAGTGCACGGGGCAGCCCCCACAGCAAAGGACTGCCCCGCCCAGAACATTAATAGTGCCGAGGCTGAGAAACTCTGCCCTAGCCTGTGAGGTTAAATTTACAAAAAGACAGGGTAGCTTTCTTGTTCTATTTGAACTTAGTCTATCACAACTTTAGAAGTTAAATATAACACTGACTTCCGTGATGGGACTCTTGTCACTACCAAGCACAGGAGAGGCTGAGACACTCATCAAGATAAGAGGCGAGAGGGACAGTAAGGAAAGAACCTGCCGTCAACTTGAAAATGGGCTTCAGCTCGGTGCACGACAGGAACCTTTGCTTTGCCACCGGCCCCACTTCCTTTCACCCCCAGACCAAGCGGGGAGTGATCAAAGGCAATGTTTGGAGACCCACAGACACTTGAGGTTGCTGGTAAATTTGCTACTCTTCATAACAAAGGAGAGCAAGAAAGGCCTGATTTGCACCTTTGCTTCGATGGGCTCTGCACGCCTCTGCGCACTTGCATGCTGCTTGAACATTCGCACCTCCCCATTCTCCCCGTGTAGCGGAGTCACTGGCATTCCCGCTCTGGCCTGCCCGCCACCAGCTCTGCCGGCTCAGTCGACACAGACGCCACTCGCCAGCACACTCCTATGCATGCTGTGCAATCCCGGACCCCAACTGCCCGGGTGCAGCAAAGGGCATGGGTGTAGTGACAAGAAACTGAGGCCCTTCCCATGTGGGAGGCCTGGCTCTGGGGCTGGTGCTCTTGAGTAGTGTGTCCTCCCAGTTCCTGTGAGACACGTACTGCTGATGTTCAGGGGACCTGGTCTTTCACTGACCCTCCAGAATGGGCCTGGCCCCACCCATCTGGGCACTGTGGCCCCAGGCCTCCTGGTCAGCCCAACACCTTCCACGGCCCCAACTCTGCCTGCCTCTCTCTCTGCTTCCAACATCCCTTCCAAGTGGTGGACTTCATTCCAATCTAATCGCTTGCTCAACTTCTTGATCTGGACGTCTCACGGCTGTCCCGAGAGCCTCCAACGCTGCATTCCTCACCCAGGCCAGGGAGCGCCTGCCACCGCCACGCATGTACCCTCGGTGGCCTGTATGCCCACCCTCTCCCTCCACCTTGCACTCATCCTCAAGTCCCACTGCCCCTACTGGTAAGCGAGCCCTCAGGGAAACACCAGGCCTACTTCCACCCCCCATGGCCAGGCCCTTCCTCTCTTCCACCGACACCACTGCAAACCTCCACCAGTGAGCCCTCAGGCCCAATCAGCCCACTGTGAGGCTGGATGCCTGAACACAGAGCTGATCTACCCCCTGGGGCTCAGGAGCTTTCAGTGGCTACCTACTACCCTCAGGAAGGGGCACCAAGCTCCTGAGCATGGCATGCATACTCCCCCACATGGCCTCAGCTCAGCTTCCAGCCACCGCTCCCAACGTTCTTCCCCACAGCCCTCGCCAGCCACAGGGGCAGTATCCTTGCTCACAAAGAGCTCCTGCTTCTGGAACCTCTGGGGCTTGCCTACCACCTTGGCCCCTCTCTCTTGCTCCCAAACCCGGCAGCAGCAGGCTGTGTTCTCCTATGTCCCGGGAGCTTCTACTCCATCACACCCCTACTGCACGAGTCCCTATTAAACCAAGCCCCAGGACGGGAGTGTCCGGCACATGGTAGGTGTCCTATGCATGTTTGTTCATTCAGCTGGGCTCAGTTTATTCCTGAGATAGAGCCTGGGTGGGGCTGGAGGTGAGGAAAGTCAGAAATGACAGATTTGACATGACACCCCTTGTAAAAAGCAGCATGCCTCACAGAGATCCAGGGTAAGGGTGCTGATCCCAGCTCCACACGGAGGAGCAGAAGAGCAGTTGTGCTAGTGGGTAGACCAGGGAAGGAGAGGGACCAGGGGCGTCTGAAGCAGCAGAAGCAGGGCAGGAGTGGCTTGCACGCACGGCCGCCCAGGTGCAGCCAGCCATCTCGTGACCCTGAGGTCAGATCACAGGGCTTAGAGCACACAGCACAGCCCGGCTGGCCCAGTCATGGTCTGGTAAGGCAGCCATGCTCTGGTCTGTGCCTGTGGGTGTGCAAGGACAGGGAGAGCGGAGAGAGGGAGCCAGGGAGAAGGGAAGGGAAAGAGGAGGCAGCCCAGCCCACCTGAGAATACCCTCCCCACACTGCCAAGATCAGCACCTGAGGGAGCAAAACTGAGATGCAGGACATACCTCTGAGGGCAATGATAAAAGTCAGGGACAACGCCAAGAGGCGGTTTCTTTAGGGGGTAGAGCAGCCAGAACACGGTTCTCGCTGTGAGGAAATGCTCTGAAATGGGGACTCTCAGACCTCCAAGGCGCCTGTCATCTTTAAAGCCCCTTTCTAAGATTACCCTAATTAGTCCATGACAGGGCCTGGAGGCAGCACCTGCAAGGACCCTCCCAGCCCAAGGAAACTGAGTGGGTTTCCGTGCAGCTATTACCTCTCTGCCCGCAGACTGCTCCTTATAACCCCTCAGCTGTGTGTGCTTCCCTCTGGAGGAATCCCATTCAAACACTGCCACTGAGCCAGCTTTCTATGGGCTCAAGACATTAAGGAAAAGAAATAAAAGAAAAAGGGAAATACATCTGGGATGCCTACAGGATAATTAACACCAGCCACCCCTGCAAGGCATTAATAATAATTAAAACTTATAATGTCAATTTCATGGCTCATTACTCGGATGTAGCACACAAATCTTACTGTGGGCTTAATGTCCTACCCCGTGGAGACTTGGGTGCTCACGCATGCACAGCAGTACCATCTCCATCTTTTATGGAGATCACCGCGGCAGTGGGGTTTGACAAATGTGCCTCCATTACAGCATGCTGCTGAAAAGGCTCTAAGTCACGCTGGCTTCCCTGGGCGTGGGGCCTGGAGCGTGTAGGGGAGGGCGGCGTGGCAGGGCCAGGTCTCACTCCTTCACATCCCCCAGCAAGCTCGGGTGAACAGTGTGGACAAAGAACTCGCCCATGTTTTGGACTCTAAGGACTCAACCCGTCTCCCTTACTCAGACCTTCCCAGGCAACACCTGTACTGAGCATAGCTTCTAATTGCATGTTACCAATGGAGGGCCCCCCTGGCCCATTAGCCCCAGGAGGACAGATAACATGCCTATTTTTT